TCATTTTCTGTATATATAGCTCCTATTGGTGAACCTGGTTCCATCACTTTAATAAAACCAATTAATAATCTCACTTGGAATGAACTTAATTGCTCTGAACGTATTGGTCTAATCACAGGCTATATAGTGATGATCAGTAACAGTAGTATCACTTACAATGTCAATAGTACTAATACACACATTATATTGAATGATTTACTATTTAGCACTGTATATAACATCAGTGTAGCTGCTGTAAACTCTGTTGGAAGAGGCCCTTTCAGTGATCCTATTGTAGTAGAGATTGGAATAAGTAAGTAAATACACTAATTTTCATTTGAGACTTTCCATTCATCTAGTACCTGGTCCAGTTGAATCATTATCAAGTATCATGGACGCTACATGGTCTGTTATCTCATGGAGTGTACCCAGTTTTATTCCACAAGACTATCCCATTATCACATTCGAGATAGGATACCTGTCTGATAACTGTTCCATCATAGATGTTGATGACATTGATGATGAAGCATTGGATCAATATAATGTGTCCAGTGGAAATAGATATGCTAACATTACTGGTCTGAATCATACTTCTTGTTATATTTTTGGTGTACGTGCATACACTGATAATGGATATGGAGAATGGATATTCATTACTAATAAGACACTGTCTCATCAGCCATCTGCATCAGTAGCTCCAACTTTAGGTATATTAATTAATGTATTAGTATCATGTCTGTGTATTAAATCTATGATCATACCATCTATTTTCTATTCAAAAATGTAGATGAAGATGGAGAGACTGACTGTAAGTTAATCAGTTGATTTCCCTTACTAATTATTGTTACAAATACAGTTGCTTTCCTTGGAACTTCATCAGCAATCGCTGGATTTTCAATAATGATGCTATTACTAGTGATCATCGTTGCCACTATTTATGTAAAGTATGTTAAAATGTGCATATAGTTTATGGTACAATAATTCAATTGTATCTAAAGGAAGAAAATATCAAGTACCAGAACACACTTAATTAAGGAAGTAGCATCAGAAAGTCAAGGTGATACTCTTAATAACTGTTTTCTTGTTTTTAATATAATCATAAGCTCCAGGAGCATCGATTTTACAAGCCAAAGAAAGAGATGTAGAGACTGTTCTGTCTTATCTTACTGTCTGGAATGACTTTGATCCACAGATTCCTCCTACTCTACCTATACCACTGGATGATTTGGCTACACATTTAGATACTTGTCATAATAGCAATGGATTTGAAAAACAATTCAAAGTACCTATTGAAGGTTGCATGTAATGATGATTATGTACATGTAGAATCTCTACAGTGGTGAAGAAAAGCCATGTACTGTTGGATACAGTGATGAAAACAAACCTTTGAACAGATTAAAGAATGTGACAGTTTGTATGTACATGTACATGTATTATTACAGAATAATGTTTTCTTTATTCATCAGATGATGATAACAGGATAATACTGACTGCTAATCCTGACTTGGATATGTGTCAAAGGGAATTTATTAATGCTAACTATGTTGATGTAAGTTTATTTTATGAAAAAATATTTGTATTGCTCTTGCAGGGATACAGTAGGAGTAAGAAATATGTTACAACACAAGGTATTTATGTGCAACCAATTCTACACTGTTATTATTTAAACTATAAGGTCCAATGAAGAACACGTTAGTTGATTTCTGGTATCTTATCTGGCAGGAAAGGCCAGTGTCTATTGTGATGTTAACCAAACTGAAGGAAGGAGGAAAAAGCAAGTGCAGACAGTACTGGCCAAACGCTATAACTGAGCAAGAGAAATTTGGACCATTCATTGTATTGTTAAAAAATACACAGGCTTACTCTGACTTTGTTACTCGTCAACTTTGTATAACAGTAAGTGAAAAATTAACATTATGTAATGTAGACCTACACAATACAGATACAAGATGGATCAAATGATAGTCATACACTGACTCAATACCATTTAACCACATGGCCTGATCAAGGAGTACCTGACTATGCTACCTCATTGATGACTCTATATAAAAGAGTCATGAACACCTGGTCTCCTTCACAAGGCCCCATTCTGGTCCACTGTAGTGCTGGTATAGGCCGTACTGGTATATTCATTGCTATAGACCTGGCTCTAGAACAAGCCAAAAAAGAGGGAGTGATAGATTTTGCTGGCATTATTAATAGACTCCGACAACAGAGAATGAAGATGGTTCAGTCACTAGTAAGGACAATTAATTCTTGAAACATTACATTGTCACAATAATTGTACAGGATCAGTATGTGTTTCTTCATGATGCTGTGTTTGAGGAAATCATTTGTGGAAAGACTGATATATTAATTGAGAACTACACAGTGGAAATACAGAAACTAAAAAAGAATGATCCAAGCATTAATTGCACAGGAATTGAAGCACAATATCATTTATTGTGTGAATTGACTCCTGATCCTAATGATGTAGAGTGTAAATCTGCTAATGCTCATAGTAACAAGAACAGATCAAATAATTACCTACCTCGTGAGAGCATCATGATTAATGAAATAATTGTAATCTGTTGTTTATCTTTTAGCTGACAAGTACATTATAACTCTTAAAGATACCAATGATGATTACATAAATGCATCATACCTTAAAGTTAGTCACAATGTGGTATAGTTATTATTGCTATTGGTTCACTTACACAATGTACAATGAGGTAGTCAAAAAACAAGCATTTCACTTTTTCAGAAAAATCTCAAAAAGAATTTTTGGCCCGGACTCGCCACGCTTGCATAGGCGGGTACTAAGCATTTGTTTAAAATATAAGATTGAGAATAAACATATTTGATAAGTTTCACTTCATTCCTGAAAAGAAATTGATGCACAGAAAATGTCAGAAGCAGGGTTAGATCTAGTAGACCCTTGGGTTGTCATTCTGTCCACACATTTGATTTGTAAAAAATGTAGATCTATCTCTTTGTATGAGCACTCTAGAGATATATTTCTTCTTCCAGCAACAGATAAAGTTGTTTTCTTTCATCTAGTTATGCTTTTGTAGCATCCCGTGGCACCAAAGCCTGGGAACTGTTAAACCAGGGGACCTCTTCCCAAGTGAGAGCTCGTGTTTCAGTCTACACAGCCAAGAGTTTGTGATTGATTCATGAATGATGTCAGTCCTGATCCAGCCTAATGCATCCTGAATCATGGATGTTGGGCAGCTAATATGGCAATGAGCATATAAATCTATCAGCCTTGATACAATCATGCTGGAATTCATACTGGTTCAGCCAGAGCAACATGTATGATTCAGCAATGATACCTGTCAGACTGTATCAATACTGTAATGAGGCTCGATTCATTGATTTTGGGCAGTGTCTTGTATCATAGTATCTGTGAACTCTTGGCTGTGTATAGGGCCAAGATTTGCTTCAGAGGTAGAAAATCACATATAACAAAAAATAAAATAACGATTTTGTCCTAATGTCTTTGTTTGTGAGTTACAGTTGCTTAAAGTTTGTGATTTAGCCTCTTTGAGGATTTTTCAGGCAGCACTGGAGAAAGCAGGAGCAACCAAAGTCTCTCAGTCTCTTTTAAATATCTAGGCAATAGTTTTGTGCCAACTTTTTCATCAAATAGAGCTTCAGATGCTAAATGAATTCCAACTTTTCTTCTTTCTCCTAGCCGTGTGCCATAGTTGTTGACCACACACACAGAGCTTATTTTAATTATTAAATGTATGGTGGTAGCTGGAGCAAATTTTGCCAAAACTAAAAAGTTAAAAAATTTTCACTTTACTAATTTTTTCTAAGCTTGTACTGTTTAACAATTTTGAAATCATTCTATTAAATTTGAATTTTTTCAAATTTTGAAGGTCTCAAAAATTTAAGAAAAGTAATTAAAAAATTTCTGAGTTTGAATGAAGTAATTGAAGTTTTGAAGTTTTTTGAATGTTAGTATAGATGCAGTTATTATTATTACTGCTTTATATTAGGGCTATCAAGGGAAAAAAGAATTCATTATAGCTCAAAGTCCTATGGAAAACACTGTGAGGGAATTTTGGAAAATGATAGTAGATTGTAAAGTGTCTACTATCGTCATGCTGTGTGGAGATGAAGTATTAAATAACTGAACTAGTATAATCCTGTTATAAGCTTGTAGGATTGCTGCTATCAATATTGGACTGGCTCAAAGACACACGGTGAATTTTCTATTGAAGTCATTAGCAAGAAAATTGCAAATGGTTACACAGAAAGAAATCTTAAAATATCCTTTGATAAAGAGAGCAGAAGTGTATTGCAATTACAAGTGACAGATTGGCCTCAAGATGGAGTTGTTAGAAAAGCAGGTACCATTCTACAAGTAATTAATGATGTTAGAAACAGACAAAAGAAAGGACCAGTAGTGGTACATTGTAGGTAAGGAGAAAGTATAATTATAATATAGTAATTCTTTAATGTATTTTATTTAGTGATACAGTGAGTCGTTCAGGAGTCTATTGTTCAGTGAGTATTGCTCTAGAACAATGTAAGGCAGAAGGTATAGTGGATGTATTTCAAGTAACTAAAACTGTCAGAAGAACTAAACCAGGAGCTGTCACTACACTGGTATGTAATAGATCATGTGTAAACTTTACTATTATTTGTTATGTTGTTTACAGGAGCAGTATAATTCTATATACGATGTGATTAACTTATACATTCAAACTACATACAAATAATAGTTCTGTACTGTAAGATTAATTTTTCAATAAATGCATTCAGTTTTAGGCCCCTCAGATAAGTTTCTAATTTCAATGTCATTATAAGGCTGTGAAATTATATTAGCACAAGACTTCTATACATCAGGATAGTGAATATGCTATTTTATGTAGCATTATGGTGGTAGAATATATGACCATTATGGGTCACCACTCATTTACTGACCAACCAGCCCAACCTGACCCCTTTTGCTTATTGATCCTGTTGACTCTTTTACTGACCATTATCACTGACTAAAGTGATTCATTTACTGACTGCTGCACTACCAAAAGACAATTAAATCAACAAAAATTCCCTTTCCAATATAACCAGTTGTACAGTACTTAATATTATTACTATTACTATACCTCAATGGTAGTTATTTCTTGTACATAAGTGTAGAGTGTTGGATTAACTGATTTAACATTTATTAATGGACGAGAGATCAAAGCATTCAATAACTTATAAGAACCACAGCAAACCTACAGTGTACAAGAATAATAAAATGAATAATTGACATGTAAATTGTACATAATATACATAACATGTATTTCGCAAATCTATTGTGACTTTAATTTTTGTAATTTTCCATTTTCAGTGTCTTGAATGACAAAAATCCAATTAAAAAATGCAAAATCCATCAAACTTTTGGGGCACAAAAATTTTTACTATTATAGACAGTAAAAAGTTCAAGTTATAAACATAGCCTCTCTTAATAAATGCTATCTTCATTTAACAAGCAACATCTAGCGTACCAATAAATTTCTTACGATATAAAATAACCTCTAAATAAAAGACACCTCTGTATAACAGAGCAGAGCTTAAAATTACATTCAAACAATGTTCAGACATTGTGTCTGCATGAAGAGTGCTGCCATTTTTAGTGGTTGGACAGAGTTTCCCACAGAGTTTTGGCATACATGTACAAGTAGTCCTCATGCAGCATCTTGTCCCAGTAGTCCAGTACTACATGTACATGTATTAGTAATGCGGTAGCGTTATTAGTAATGCAGAAGTGTTACTAAGTAGGATCATATATAGATACTGTATACACATGGATATGAAACTCCTGTATACACACATATAAATTCACATAAGAAAGTGTCATAAATGCTACATTCAGCTGTCCTCACCCGTGTTTCACTGCATTCATGGCTGCCAGGGTAAGTAAAGCAATCACAGAAGCCTATTCGTTTGTTAAAGTAGCTAAATGATCCCTCGAAGGACTTTGCAAAGCCTTCATATATTGAAATAATGCTCATAAAAGATAGTTTGACTGAATATCTTGGCTCTACATTAGATGTCATAGCCTATATTATTATTATTATTATTATTATTATCGAACAATTTACAAAGTGTGAACAAAAAAGAAGGAAGAAATAAACAAAAGTACAATAGAGACTCATGGACCATGCAACAAACTTTGAAGGGCTACTAGTAAGTAGCTACTAGCACCCATTAAAATAAAATAAATTAGGAAGATAAAAAAATAAGTAGAATAAGACAATTGAAGATAGAATAAAATAAAAGAGAAGAGAGATTGGAGGCAGGGAAGAGATAGATAAAAGGAAAGGTAACAGAAAATATAGAGAGGTTGCTGAATCAAGAGAATGAGCTTGGAGCTGGATTCTTTATATGACAAGCTGAGCATGGACACATTATATGAAAGGAGCAAGTATCAATTGGGTCAAAATGTGCGAGAAAATGATTCCAGAAGAATTTTAAAAGATGTGATTTAATAGTAGTGAGGGAGAGTGAGAGGTCTACGGGTGGGAGAAAGTTCCATAATCTAGCGATTCTATTGAAATATAAATGACGAGATCTGCAAATTGAGGATTTAGTAGCAGAGCTAGTACAGCTGGATGAAAATGATACAAACTCATAAATATCAAAACTAGGGTCTGGATATTTGAGACACAATATAAAAAAATGATGTCCTGTAGCTCAAGAAAATAGTGCAGAGGTATAAGATGTAGTGCCACAAGCCTTGAACGGTAATCAGACTCCCAATCATTTAGCATATATTTAGTGGCATGACACTGTTCTCTCTCTAATGACTCTATATCCTCAATGAGCATAGGTCTCCATACTTGAGATAAATATGTCAATTGAGAGCGAACTAGGGTTAAATAGAGCATCTTCTTAACATAGGTAGGAGAATGAACAGAAAAGGTTCTTCTAACAAGACTCAATTTAGCATATGCTTTCTGAATAATATGAACATAGTGGCTAGACCACGTCAAGGATTGGGAAAAGGTGACACTGACCCAAATCTCTCCAAGTTGATACACATTTTACCCTAGATCTGTTCAGGAAATACTCATAAGCAGAAGCACCATCATTTCTAAAAGACATATGAAAGGACTTGAATGCATTGAAGTTGAGACCTGAGACCATACTCCACTGAGATAGAGAATCCAGATCTTTGTGAAGCAAAATATTATCTTCAGGAGAGTTAATTAACTTGGAGATCTTAGAATCGTCTGAGAAAAGGAGTGATTAAGAGAAGGAAACAAATGAAGGTAGGTCATTTATTTTGATAATGAAGAGCAGTGGCTCCAGGATACTACCTTGGGGCACCTCAGATCCCTCAATTGTGACACCGTGCATTCGGTCTGACAAGTAATTCCTGAAGAGGTGCCACAATGCTCCAGTTACACCACATGACCAAAGTTTAGATAGTAAAAGATCATGGGAAACCGTATCAAAGGCTTTCTTGATATCAAGCATACTATCATCATACTTTTTTTGTCATCCAGAGCCTGTATAATGTGATAGGCATGCAGTAATAGTTGTTTGACAGTGGACCTATTCTTCAAAAATCCATATTGACAGTTAGAAATAACACCATCAAGAATAAAATCATAATATACTTTCTCAAAAACTATCTCCTCAAAAACCTTAGAAACTGAGGAGAGCAGATATAGATGCTTCCACTTATCTGGGATAATTGCATAAACAGCACAGGTTTAAAATAAGTGATAAATGGGCTCTGGTGGTGGGGATAAAGCATATGTGGAGGGACATTTAAAAACAGAATGAAAGAAATGGTTGAACAATTTGAATTTGTAGTTTGCATTGTCAACAGAGCTATCACCATAATACATAACTGGAGGGAATTTGCTCTTACCAGTTAGATTGTGTATATGATTATAGAGTTTAGTACTTTTATTACCAATAAAGCCACTGATAAGATCTTTCTCATAAGCAAGGCGGGCATCAGTAATACATAGCTGAAGCTTACATTCAACACACATTAATCTAGTAAAGTGAGAAGGTTTAGATTTCTAATATTGTCTCCTTTAGAAATGCACACAATGTAATAGGTGTCTGATGTAAGGGGTAAACCACTTAGGGAACTGATGAGAACTGACCTCATCCAAAGGTGTAAAAAGAGAGATCAAAGAAAGCATGGCACCCTCAATAAAAGACCAGATAAAATCAACATCTTTCGATTGATAAATTGGAGAGAAATCAAAGTCTAGCAAAAATGAATTGAGTGCATCAAAGTCAGTTTTTTTGTAGTTGTAAAACCAAGTCCTACCACTTGAAACAGGCTTTTTGAATGGAAGGGAAACAATGAATGAGAGAGAAAAATGATCAGAAGACAAAAGAGAGGAAGTAAGAGTATGAGTGTCTTTTATAAACTCGCAGAAACTGCTGCAAAGGACAATGTCCCAAATATTACCAGCAACGAACAGCGGCCCTCATTCTATGACAGACAAATCTGAGTATTCCTAGGCCCAAAACCCTGACGAGTCGGGTGCCTGAGAAAGGTCATCACACAATCTGAGGATGAGTGATCAAATCCTTGGCATAAACTACAAAATGACCCCAATTCAGAACAATGACTGAATACAGTAGAAGCCACTAGACTAGGATGGAGGATTCCCCACTGCAAGGATAGATCTAGTACCACCTATTGCTGAAACAGGTGGTCGTAATCAAGTCAGCCCCAACCACCATGGCATAGATCTTCTCTCACTATCAGTCTGGCATACACCAGACGAACACGAACAGATTGGTCTGGGACCAACACAGCCAAGTATGGCAAAAAACAGTACACCCATGATGGTAGCGAGGAAACTTCCCGAAGGCGGGGGTGGGAAGCAGGGACCACAGTGAGGAAGCACCCTGCGGCAGCCTCAAATGTTGGGATAGGGCAATGTTGTCTCCCAGGAGGTCTCGAATTTCAATAAATTGTCTCTCCCGAATCCTTTGAATGAGTCTAGCAGGAATGGGTTCAGAAGATAGGGACAAACTGAGACCCATCTGAGGTAGATGGCTGGGGATTGACAGTGGCTGTGGGAAAGGGGAGGTCCCACCAGACATGACAGGTAATGGGGCGAAGGGCACCACTGGGAGGGAGGGGGCAGAAGTGAAGAGGGGCACTGTGGACACAGACGCAGGAGGTGGGAGCGATCCCAAGACAAAGGGCCAACCTGTAGCAACACTGAGAGTAACAGACCCAGTGAGAGATAGAAGGAGGAAGGTAACAACCCCAGTAGAAAAATAAATAAACAAATAAAATAAAATAAATAAAATAAAATAAAATAAAATGAGTAAGATTCCTACCCACAAATGAGATGGAGGACTAGTGGTTCTACCGACAAATATGCCATAACAACCTCAAACACAATTACAACAGCAGAAATAATGACTGCATGGATAATAACTAATGACACATGTCTTACCCCAAACCCGTGGCGCCACATGTATAGCAAATGAGAATGCACACAGCGGTAACCCACAACAACCTGTATCAGCACATGGACCTGCCAATGAAGCAGCCTAGCCAGCCAGACAAAAAAGGGAGGGGCTGATACATTGTAAAGCTAAAGCTCAGTAACGCTCAGGTACACACAACTACATACAATAACAATATTGAATAATATGAAATGAATAATGTAGCTTAAGCTACCAATGATACTGAAATACTAGCCAATGGAACAAAATTGTAGAAGAATTGGAGTAGAGTATGAGAACAGAAGAGTGAAGACAACTTTACAACTGAAGAAATTTGATCAATGCAGGACTATTTATATGGAGGATGCATGGTTATTATATTATAGTTAATTGAATGAACTAGGCAGTTACCACAAATGTATAATCAAGGGTTGATAAATAATTATCCACTCTTGGTATAATGTATACGATATGTCCTGCATGTACATGTGTAATGCATACATCCACTATGAGCTAATGTAATACCAGCAGTAGAAGTCAACTGACTGGTGTAGGCAATTATACATAGTTATAATTTAGCAGTTTAAAATGATGATTTCATTCATTGCAAACCAAAAATTTAAATACAATTGTTAATTTTGGAGGGGGAAACTTAAGGAAATTTAATGCTTTGTTAATTGTTTACCAAAATAAAGCCTGCTATTTTGAATCAAGTTCAATAACACATGTGCCAATCACCAAAAATTCGCCAAAATTTTTCCTTCTGCTATACAGTAAATTGACCTTGTGGCCCACAAGACTCTATTATAATCATAAACTGTTTTGCAGGAAAAATGGGAACAAAGCATTATATAATGTAATTACAAGTTTTAATAAACTAGTCACTCCTGTAACTATTATTCCTAACTCATTATCTATTCATGATACTAATGATTATTAATGTTTATTAATGAGTTGTAATTATTATTCTTAGTTCTTCTTGTGATAAGATTTTTGCTACAAAGTTGCTTAAGGACTCTGCCAGTGGCGGATCTAGGATTGAATTTTTGGGTGGGCACTGATGATATAGGTGGGCTAATTAGTGGGTGTGGCCAACAAATCCTGCATTGAAAGTCAAAATTTTGAAGATTTAGCCAGTTAAAATGAGCTCCTTTGTGGTTTACAAATTGTTTTTAAAGTCATGCTTCACAGTTTACATAGTAGTTTACATTAAAAAGTTAATTTTAAATTATTGCACAAAATTTTTGGGTGGGCCTGGCCCAGCCAGGCCCACCCTTAGATCCGCCACTGGCCCTTACTACTTTAGTATTCCATTCTCAGCTCACCTGGTATCACTCTAGTGCAACCCCATGTGTCTTTACGCAGGTAATTACATAAATTAAACATAAGAAATTACACAAGCGTATACATAATTTGTGGGTGTGGTTTGTGGTGGTACTTGCTTAGTGGTTCCAAAGCAGTCATGGCGGACGGGTGGCAAGGCAGTCTGGCCTTAAGAACCAGAACTGGGGGTTAAAGTACTTTTATGGATCCAACTTTCCCCTCTCTACCTGCCCTCCGCACCATTATTGATTTTGAAGGTACAGTAGTGTTAGATTTTAAGGACATATTATAAGTTGTGTTGGACAGGGGGTATGTGTTGCGTGTACACGTACATCCACTTGTTAAACACAGGTGTGTGTAGTGGTTATGACCATAGTGTACATGTAGTTTACATATATAAACAAAGTATATTAGTTCATGTAGGCATTGGTTTTGATTACATGTATCTCTATCACATGGCCTGTGTGTGTGTGTGTGTGTGACTGGGCTTACTGTTATCTGGAGTACCACTGCTTACACTAGTCAGGCGTGGCCTGACCCTTGCGAAAACGGAGGGTCAGGAACCTCGTATATACCAGTCTTGTTAGCTAGCTGCAGAAATTCTGCAGTGACGCATTGTGACTCGCTATGACTT